CTTCCAGAGTGGAATTTTCCCAGTGGGACCAGTTCTGACTCAGCGCTGGGGTGCGAGGCCAGTCCCTGAGCTCGGCTACCTTCCTGGCAAGGGGTGGGGAGCAGATAGGGACTCCACCTGCCACTCCAAGCCACTGGGCTCTGTCTGGGCCTCACCTTCTCCTGGAGGAAACACCTCCCCCGTCCCGAGAAGGGTCTCTCCCAAGGCCAGCGGTGCCTGGATGTGGCCTCTTAGGCCATGCTTTCCCTGGGCTGGAGAGCCTCTGGGGGTCAGGCTGCCAGAGCGGTGTGGAGTTCTAGAAGGAAGCAGGCTGAGCAGCCCTGGGCAGAGCCCTTCAATGGGCAGTCAGGTCCGTGGGCCGAGCCTGAGCAGCCTGGCTCGGTTCCTGGAGCTTCTCCTCCTGGCTCGTGATGTCCCAGCCCAGAGCCTCAGCCCCCAACCACCTGCATCAAAATGCCTTCCTGCCAGGTGGCTTAAGGAGGGTGACAGGGCCCAGTGGCAAGTTAATTTCATTCTGGGTGTCGACGTACCTTGATTGATGCTGATTCCGCAAAGCTGGGATCAGTTAGGCTTGTCTGTGGAGGCTGGGGAAGGAGGGCAGGGGAGCCCAAGCCTGTCCTGCCAGTCCTGCAGTAGGAGAAATCAATCTTACACGTGTTATTTGTTCATACTGAGGTGGGAAGGGTTGTCAACCCCAGGAGCCGGTGGGTAATAGGTTTTGAAGTCCCCTCTATTATTATTTTAAATAGCAAAGCTGATCCGCTTGGATTGGGGTGGTGGGAGCAGGCGGACAGGGCACTTCCTGCCCGCCCACCAGGAGGCTCTGACAGCCTGTCCTGACTGCTGTGTTTGCCTCGGGGTCTGCAGGGTGGTCTGGTCCCTGCTGCTGCAGCCCCTGACTTTCCTGTTCTCTTCCCCTGCCCTGCCCCCCAAACTGCCCGCCGGCCTGCTTCAGCCCGATTAGGGTGATCAGCCGTCCTGGGTTTTCTACAAGCCCAGTTTTATGATTTCCTTAATGAGGGTGATTATAAAATGCATCTAAGTAAGATTTAGCAAAAATTTTCATGTAAGTAAATTCACATATCAGGAAATAGTTCTTTGCAGACTGTCCCCGTAGAGGTGGTCTCTGAGCTGCTCACCCTCGGATCTGACCTTCGCCTTGTTGAATCAGCCTCGTTGGAGAGGCCTTCCTTGAACGGTCACTCTTCCCCATCACCTCTACTGCACCACCCTCTGCTGTGTGAACACAGTTGGTCCACTTGTTGATTTCTGATGGCACCGCCCAGTGGGAACCCCTCGAGAGCAGGAGCAGCATGTGTCCCGCTCATGGCCTGTCCCGGCACCTAGACCAGCACCTGGTGCCCGCCAGGTGTCCGTGAGCCTGTTGAGTTTGTAGCACTGGCCTCTTGTTCTGGCCCATTGCTCTCAGCCAGAAACCTGGAAACCCCAGGCGCCTTACTGGAAACATTCCAAGTCAACAGCTGATGACTGTGAGTTTCCCCATCTGAACGGTCACTGCGAGGGAGCCTCACTGACCGGAGCTCTCCATCCCTGTGGCAGACGGGGCCTAGGACACCAGGGGGCTCCCGCAGGGGCCGGAGGCTTGGAGAAGGGCGGACCGCTCCCGGTCCCCGCACGGACAGAAGCAGGTCTTTTTGACCCTGAGTCCTCTCGCAGGCCTGAGCTGAGCTGGGTCCCCTCAGGGGTGCTGTCATAGGGCCGGTCCTCAGCTTCCTGGGTCACAGAGTTCCCAGGATGTGACAGGTCATAGCTGGGCCCAGGCTTCTCCTGGAATTTCCTTTCTCCTGGAAGGAGGGTGAGATCATGCTCCCTTTCATTTTAGCCGGGAATAAGGGAACCCAGCCTGGGGAGCTGGCTGCTGTCTTCGCAGGTGTCCCTGGCCCAGCCGGCTGGCCCGTTGCCTTTCTCCACAGGCCAGTGCCTCTGCCTCTGCCGCCTGGGCCTTGCTGGAAGGCTCCCCGCGCCCTGCCTGGGCCAGAAGAGGTCACTCTGTGTCAAGCCCGTTTGTGGAGCCTGATCCGAGCATTGAGCGTAGCCGTGAACGCCCCCCCCCCCCCCCCCCCCCCGCAGCCCTGAGTTCAGTCTGCTCTCCTGCTCTGTAGCCACTGGCGACTGGCGTAACCTCTGCAGAATCTTCACCTCCCTTCCAGCGACCAACAGAGCACCTGGCACACTGTGGGGCTCGGTATGCATCTGCCCCACTGTACCCTACGGCTCCACGCACTTGCCCAACAACACCCCCAATCCTTCCACCGGGGTCTGCCGCCTCCTCCCTCAGAGAACAGTACACCCCAGGGCTTGTCAAGCCAGATGCTATGATTAAAAGGTCAGGCTTCCGGAGCTGATGTCTGGTGAAAATCACCTAAGGGTGATGACCCAACATGGTCAGTGTGACCCTGACCCCCCCACCATACCCTCACTCCCATGACAGAAAGCCACACAGGCCCCTCATCTCTTACTCTTCGGGGTGCACACAGGCCGTCATAGTGATCCTACTTCCAAAACAGCCTCTGGTCTCCACTGTAACCTGCTCTCTCAATGGGCTCAAAGCTGTGTGTGTGTGTGTGTGTGTGTGTGTGTGTGTGTGTGTGTTTTAGTGGGCCCTGCACCCCCAGCTCCGACCCAGTGCCCGCCCATCAGATGACTCCCATATCCAAGCCTCGTTCATTTAAGACAGGGCTGCCTAGTCATGTCACAGTGTGACTTGGGAGGGTGTCACCCTGGGGTAAAGGGGTGATGCACTATGGCTGGAGAAGAGCAGCCCCTCCAGATCCCCAGGGCCGACGGCACCGGAACGTCCCCTTGGTCTGGACTCTTGCCAGTTGGACACTCTGAAGTCAGTGGGCCCTCCCTCCTGTGGAACAGAAGAAACACGACCAACACAGTTTGCTCAAGTGACATATTTCAATATAATCTCTAAAACTCTATGAATTGAACAGATAAAATACCTCTGGGCTATTTTGTTACAAAATATTTGCCATTTGGATTAGTCGCTGGGTGCAGCTACCCTGCCTTTCCCTAGAGAGGTTCCTCTCCAAGGGTGGGAGGGTGTCTGCAGGGAGGGGTGCAGCAGGAACACGGGGACGGGCGGACAGATGGTTGTCAGGGCAGCCTATCGGGTACAAAGAGACATTCTGGCAGGCTATGGGGGAACAGATGGGGTGGGGTGGGGTTAAGGAGGTCGCGGGTCGAGGGCCTGGAGCGGACAGATGTGCCTTTGGACACCGGCAGGCGGGCAGGCTTCCAGGTCAAGCTGCCCGGGCGGGGTCTCGCTTCAGGTCTGGGGTGGGACACTAGTTTCATCTCCCCTCCTGATTCTGGAGCTGGAGCCAAATGGGTAAAGTTGAGAGAGGGGCTCAGGTCCCTCAAAGTAAGGCCTAGGGAGTTGAAGAGTGGGGCCACGTTGGGGTGACTGGGCACACACCCAGGAGGCTGCAACCGGGGCTGTCAGCACCCCACTCGCCCCTCAGGCTTGGGAGAGCAGGAGGGCCCATGAGCATCTCCAGCGGCGCCCTCTGCAAGGGCGGAGGCTTGTCCAAGGTCTCTGGGGGCTGGTCGGGGATGGGGACAGATGTGGGTGCCAGTCTTAGCCTGTTGGCTCATCAGGGGAGGGAGGATGCGGACACTTGGAGCTCTTGCGTTCCTAAATGAGGAGGGCCAGCTGTGCCTTGCCCCAGGCCACTAGGAATTAAAAGCTCCTTACAGCTCAGGCTCAGCCCATGTGCTGCTGAGCCCAGGCTGGTCTGCTGCCACTGGGGCCCAGGGCAGCCACCGCAGTGCCCAGGGCTGAGCCTCAACCACCTGAGCATCCGGGTCCTCAGAGAAAGGCCCTGCGTGCTCCGCCCGAAGACCTCTGCTGGTTCCCATCTGGAAAGTCGGGGCTGCTGCAGAGCTGGGGGGGAGGGGGCGGGGCAGAGGTGCTGTGCCATCCACAGGGAGGAGGGCATTTTGTCATCTAGAGGCACTGTGAGCAGGTGACAAGGTCCTGATGGTCAGGACTGTGCTCAGTCCTCACCAGCCCCTGGCTTTCATCGTCCGCACCCCACAAACAGGTTTAGCTGCCTCAGAACCCCTCTTTCTTCATAACTCGTACTCCCTGCTGCCCATCCGTAACTTCCACTCTATGTCCAGCCCCCCTCCTTCAAGATGCGCTCACTCCCATCCCATCTGCTCCTGCTGCGCCGCCGACACTCAGTGACATCTGAACCTGTGCGGCCTGTTCCCAGCGGCTCTGACTGGAGCGCCCCTGTTCCAGTAGAGACGCAAGAGAGGGGCCAGGACAATGAGGACAGAAGCTTGGCTGGGGAGCCACAGTGGAGGAGACAGCACATTGGTCACAAGTTACGGATCCCAGGCTGACAAAGACAGGGCCAGAAATAAACTCACGGGGTGACATCATCATGACGTTTGGTAGCCACACATGTACAAATGAAACTAGGTCACCCGGAAGCTCTGAGAGCAGAAGAATTGGGGTCTCCTAGCGGGCCCAGGGGGTTGCGGCTGGGGCACGGGGAGGGGTCAGGGAAAAGCACATTCACTTTAGGCCTGGCCCACATTCCCTCCCATCTCTTGGGCCACTTGGATACTGCGCTCCTCCGTAGGAGGGGGGCTCAGAGAAGGATAGCGAAGGGCTGATGGCACCGGACTGGAGAGTCCAGCCTGGCTGGGACAGACACTTCCCGAAAGGGCATGACTGGGGCACTGGTATCTCCTGAGGTCTTTGAGGAGAGCTGCCCAGGCTCTGTGGGGTCACCTAAAGGTTGACTCCCCAGTGCTATGTGGCCGGGAGGAGGTCAGTGAGGCCCACGTTGTTCTCCTTTGCAGCTGTGAGGTGCAGGGACTCTTTTAGCGCCCCCTGCAGGAGGCCGGTCTGGTGTCTTCCTGGGGGAGGTGGGGAGCTGGGAGATTTCAAGGCTGAGGGCAAGTGTGGGGTGGCAGCAGGGGAAATGCCCGTGCCTGTGGAGCACCCGCTTCTCGTCTGCATCTTGATTCCCATGGAGGTCACAGCTGTCGTGCGGGAGGGAGCCCTGTCTCCCAATCCACTTCCGCTGGCTGCATTTGCCCCTGGCAGACCGCTGCCCCTTCTTCCTGTTTCTTCCCACTGGGGAAGAAATTAGCCCAGTTCCCACGTGTGTTCATGTTTACACCTGGGGTGCACTGTGCACTGGCTGGGTATTATTTGGGGCTAGGGAACTAAAACTCTAAAATTTTGTAGATAAATGGCCTCATGGTTCTGTAGGCCTGTTGAATGGACCTAGAGAGACCTGAGATGGCCCCCTTCCTCCCTCCTTTATCAAAGCTTTGCTGGAGTCTGGGTAGCCCTGGGCAGGCAGGGCCCAGCTCCGGAGAAAGAGCAGGCCTGGGGCGGAGGGGGAGGACGTGATAGGACAGCATCCTCGGGGACAGACCAGCGGCCTCCTGAGCCTGCCAGGCTTCCGGGGGCAGGTGCAACAAAGACCCTTCACATTCCCACCTTCTCGGTCCTTCCAGGGATCCAGGGCCAACCCTCCTCCTCCGAGTGCAACACCGATTGCTGAGCAGGAAGCCAGGCCACTTGCTGTCCGGTGCTTGGGTACTGGCCCCAGCCTCTTGCACGACCCTCCCAGCTTGAGGCCCAGGGCCCAACAGACTCAGGACCCAGACGCCGAGCAGGCCCTCAGTCCCTATTCTCTCCAGTCCATGGTCCAGGTGTTGAGCGGTGGCAGGAGGATGAGGCCTGGCCGGGCAGACTGTGCAAGGCCAGGAGAGTGCAGTGGTGTCTCCAGATTTGGGGGGGGGGTGCCCATCTGAGTAAGGGAACGGTCGGGTGAGGCAAATCCACCTGCCAGGGACTGGGGTTCTCTTTCCAAGATGATGGTGACGGTGACCAGGAACACTGCGTGCCAAGGTGAGGGGAGCAGCAAAGGGGCAGCTGGGGCTCCTGGGTGCAGCCCTCCGGTGAAACAGCAGCGTGGCAAACAGTCTACACCAGGCTCCTGGACCCGCTGGAGTAGCGGCGCCTGTGCAGCAGGGAGCCTGGAGGGCAGTACTGGTGAGGGTGGTTGTAGGGGGGTGGGGGCGGGGGCAGGGGGGGCTGGTGGATGACCTTCACCGGGGAGCCTGGGCCACCCCGGGGTGTGGAGCCGCAGGAGTCAGAAGAGGAAGAGGCGTAGCAGGAGAGAGCCTGGCTTAGCAGGGGCTCCATGCGGGCCAAGCAGGGCTTGTCCAGGACAATGACCTTGACAATTTGCTGACACTGCACCAGGGTCCCCGGGGGCGTGGGTGGCAGCTGCGGCACTGGCGGCGGGGGCTGCTCTCTCAAGGGGCTAGGCTGCGGGCCTGGCAGTGCCACTGGAGCTCCCCTCTGGGCCCCCAGCCCGGAGTTGTGCTGGGACGTTTGAAGCCTGTTGTGAATTGACACCTAGTTTAGAAACAGCCAGAGAAGCGTGAAATGTTACAAGACTAATTCCCAGCTACTAGGACTGGCTACCCTGAGCCTCCCTGCCCCCTTCCCTGGCTCTCAGCCCTCACCTCGACCCACTCCCCATCTCTCCACCAGAGGAAAACTGGCAGCAGCCAGAGGTTCCAACCCTGCAGTCAAGAGACTGGCGTGTTCTGCCACCGACCGAGCAGCCTCAGTGCTCTGCGCCCCGTCTCCTCATCTATGAGATGGGCGGTTGAGCCACAGACTCTCAGGTTCTGCATAGCTCTGCAGTCTGACGGCAAGGACCTGCCAGGTGGCTTTGGGCCATGGGTAAACTTCTCCCCAGTCTTCCCTTCCAGCCTCTGAGCTTGAAAAGCAGGGGTAAGGGTCTTTGCTCCCTCCCTGCCCCGCAGGGCTGTGTTGAGGACCGAGGGAGGAACAGGGACAGGGTTAAGCACCTGAGACTTTCCAGCCCCTCTCCTCCCTCTGGCTTTGTTAGAGGGGAAGCCTCGTCATCACTGTGGACGTCACGAAAGCACCCAAACCTCAGAATGCCAGGTACCCGAGGGGTGATCCAGACCTCCCCCATCCCCCCAGACTCCCTTAGGCCGTGGCCACACATTCAAGAGCAGCCAGAGAGCAAAGGCCGGAGTCAGATCGCAGCTGCCTTTATGGCCCAGCCTGGTCCTGGTTAAATGTGTTCTGTTGCAGGAGGGGTACCAGGAAGGACTCTAGTCTGCATCTCCTAGGTGGGGAATAGGAGATGGCCCCTCCCTCAGGCCATGGTGGTCACTGTGACCCAACTGGCCTCCTCTTGCTAGCAGGGGGAGGGGAGGAAATGAGTGGAAGGGGCCTGAGGACTGTGGAAGGAGAAGGCTTAATTCCTCAGCCCTAAGTCTCTACAACTCCCTTTGGACACCCGAGTCCTTTGGGGGTGGCTGAGACCCTTCTCTCTGAGGATGTTCCTTTGTCCTTGGTACCACCCCCCAGGAAGGCTGCTCAGAGCACAGGGAAGATCCAGGCTGCAGGGAGGGGACCTTATCCCAGGCCTAGACCAGGACGGCCCAGCCCCAAAGGTCTCAGAGCCCTAAGGCAGCAGATCCTAATCCTATCCATTGGCAAAGGCACAGTGCAGGGGCCCCTCCCCCTTCCCCGATCTGTGTGCCCCCAGGGGACTGCATCCCTTTCCGCAGCCCCCCAGCCCCCTTCTTTGTCTGCCCTTCAGTTTTCACAAACCCCCACAACTGCTCAGCATGCTCAGTCCTGACTCTTCCCTCTCAACCTCCAGCCTGGGCAGCACTTTTCAGGCCTGAGATTCCTGCAAACTGATGTGTCCCACAAGGCCCGGGGCAGGCAGAGAGCAAGGCTGGGCCACCTTCCTCCTGGGGAGCCGCCTGTGGCCCTCCCTCGGACAGAAGGCCTCTGTCCGCTGCTGCTGGAGCTCATCCCTGTCCCCACCTGTGCCCAAGACAGTGGGGGACAGACGTGTGTCCCTTCTGCTCTCTCCCCCAGACTCTACAGCTGCCCCTCCTTAGGCAAATGCCTGGCTGCCCCAGTCCAGACTCGCTGAGCCCCCTCCTCCCCAGCTGCCCCCCACGTGGCCCGCAGCTCTTGGCCTCCTCCTGCCCCTCCTCTTCACCTCTGCTTTCTGACTCCACCCCCATGGTCCCCCCCCCCCCACCCGGCCTGATTCCTTATTGTTAATAGTAAGTGAAAAGCAGGAAGTGACAGCAACACATTCTCTATTCTGACCCCTCTCACCTCCCTGCGATGAAGAAAGGAGAGAGAGAGAGGGAGGATGGGGCATGAGCAGCAGGTCAGAACAGCTCGGAGGAGATGGAGAAGCGCCTGCCAGAGGGGCCGGGCCAGGCAGTGAGGAAATGGCAGAGACAGGGCAGAGGACAGAGAGCTCAGGGTCAGCTGAGAGGCCGGGCAGCGAGGCTGCCCTCTGTGCGGGGAGCAGAGGCTGGCAGGGCCCTGGGGCTAGCTGGGGGGGCAGCCTTGCAGATAGCCACATGGCCCTCTGGGCGGGGGGAGGGGAGAGGCCATCAGATCGCTTGTCCTCCCTGTGCAGGTCAGGCTAAGGTGGGGGCAGGGCTGGCAGAACAAACCTGAGGGCTGGTAACTTCGTGTGTTTATCTGCAAGGCTAGAGAATGGGCAGCTGCAGGAAGATGGGGAGAGGAGGGCAGGGAATGGAATACCCACCCTGGGGGCTTGTCAGCTGCTGGGGCAGGAAGCTCCTCGGAGTAAAGGTGCCTCCTCCAGACACAGGTGTGTGGGAGATGGGGGCCGGGAGACAGAAGAAACTGGGCTCCCCCGGGGTATCCTGGGGCTGCCCTGAGCTTAGCCAGGCTGGTGGGCGGCAGGGCTCCTCCCTCAGACCTCTACATGGGGGCTCCTCCAGCTTGGGGCGGGGTGTCTGTGTGAGCAGCTAGTGGTTCCCGGAGGCTTGGCAGAAAAGGAGTGAGGGGCTCACCGGGTTTGAGGGGAGCCAGTGCAGGAGGACAGGGGCCGGCGCGGCTTGCAGGGGCAACGGGGGAGGACCGGCTGCTGCTGCTGCTCCCCAGTCCCTTCCTACGCGGCCTGAGGATGGGCTGCCCTCCCCCCCCCCCCACACACGCACAGTCTTCAGGGAGGTCAGCTGTGCCCCCAGGAAACCCTGAGACAGCCCAGCCCTACTCTGCCTCATTCTCTCCTGCACACATCCCGACCCTGGGCAGCTTTCCACGTGGACCAGCTGTTCCAGGGAGAAGCTCCACCCTCCAACTCCTCCAAGGGGCATGGGGGGCAGGGTCCACCCTGGACCGGGTGACTCTCCCCAGGGGTGCAGGCTCCCTCAGGAGGATGGGAGGACTTGGGGGAAGGGAATATTGGGCTCTCTGATATAGCAAGTATTAGGGGATCCGTGAGCAGTGTGCCGGGGACGTGGGCTGGGGGTGTGGGAGGGATCGCCGTGGAGGGCCCCACCTGCGTGGCCTAGGTCTGGGCTGGACCGTGCAGGGCAGTCAGCTGGGGCAGGCTAGGCTGGGGTGGGGGAGAAAGCGCTGCAGCTTATTTAGGCGCTGGAACAGTGGCATTACCCATGCTAGCAGTAACTTTTAATTGTATCTCTTGAAATTGGTAAAATGGTGAGTCGGGCTGGGGAGGCATTGATTAATACCTGAGAAGAGAAACAACAGAGACGGTGAGAAGGACAAGGTGGGGCACAGAGTCACTCACCTGGGCAACCAGGCCTCCACTTACCTCCACCGTGCTCTCCGATGGCCTCTCGCCCAGCGCGGCTTCCCTTTTGGCTTTGAATGCAAAGGGCACAGGGCTCATTCTCCACCCTCCCAACACACATCCCTGCCCCTCCTGCTCCTCAGCCTGAGATGCCTGCAACCAGGGGCGTGGCTGGTGAGACTGGGGGCCACACCACTCCTGAAGGTGATGCAGCCGGGTCAGGGGACTGGCAGTTGGAGCCCACTTCTTCCACTTAGTAGCTGTGTGACCTTGGGCAAGATGTTACACCTCTCTGGGCCTCCACAGACCAGATCTCTGCGGTTCCTTCGAACATGGGCAAGCTTGGGTCTAATTAACCCACAGTCAAAGCCTTCCCGACATGGACTGTGCGTGCTGGTTACAAGCTGGCATTGGTTCTTGGCTTCCAGAAACACAAGGTGGCGCTACTGGGCATTTTGGGTACCACGTTCACCTGTCTCCACAGGCTCCTTGAGGGAGGGGCCATGTCCCTTGTTCCCATCCCTGCTGCTGAGCCAGGGGGTGGGCGTCAGTGAGGCCTGCACAGGGCCCACGGCAGAGCCCACCACACCGGGGCTCTGACTGGCCTGGCTCAGCACAGGGGACCCGTTGGATCCCCCAGGGACAATGATGACTCTCTGGTTGGTCGCCTGCCTCACCCTCTGCCCTGCAGGCACTCCAGGCTCCTCTGCGGGGGGGCCCCTCTTGTTTCTCACACCCCTGGGGAGGTTGCCGGTCCCCATCCTGTGCTCATCCTCTGTCCTCTGCAGCACACAGGGAGCCCGGCCAGTGTTTGGGATTGAGGAGCACTCCGCGTGGAGGCACCTGCCGGACAGGGCCCTAGAGGCGCGCAGCCTGGTCTGCCCAGGGGGTGCAGAGCGTGCGGTGGGCTGTCAGGGAATCCGTCACAGCTGAGCTCCAGCTCTGGAGTTTAAACAGCCGTGAAAACAAGCAGCAACCCAAGTACCGTGACCTGATAGAAATAAAGGGGCTGGCTGGAAAGCAGGCGGGGTGGCAGGTCAAGCTCCCGTGCAGAAGGGGACATCACAGTGAGCATCTCCACGCAGCTCACAGAGCCCTACGTCCTGCTTAGAAAATGAGTCACCTCTCCCAGCTGGGTGGCTCGTCCTGGGACGCCGCCTGTCACAGCATCACACCATCCTGGCCGTCACGGAGGGGTGTGGACCAGCAGGAAACCCACATGGAGCTCAAGCTGTCATGTTAGGACCCTGGCTTTCCAGGGCTTAGCCCGGCACAGCAGGCGCTCAGTGTTCGTTGCGCGTAAGAACAAGTGCCTGAGTGGTTTGCTGGGGGTCTGCTGGGACAGGACTTAATTCTCACGCACCTCTCCTAGCTCTTTTTCATTTGGGACTGTGAAGGTGGAGGTGCGTCCTCCCGGGCTCCCTGTAGGAGGGGCGAGGGGAGGGCAAGGTGTAGGAAGGAAGAAGGTTTCAGTGGGAGGAAGGAAGCAGGTCTAGAGAACGTGGCAAAGCGGGTGTAAAGCCCAGAGCTGGCTTTGCTCATCTGGAGTGAATAACTGAACGCCCCCAGTGAACCGCAGTCTTCTGAGGGCCTGGGTGTGAGGGTGGAGGGCACCCTCCCCAGGGCCAGGACTATGAGGACTCCGGGCCTGGCTTCTCCAGGGTGGGCAGTGACGTAGCATGAGGATGAGGATGCTGGGCCCCGTGCAGGCTCTCCTTCCTCTGCACTCCCGGGACTAAAGCCCCATGAGGTTAATTAAGCCTGGAGCTCCTCAGCAGGACGAAATGGCTGTGGAAACCTTCACCCAAATCTCCCAGGAGCCCAAGCCCAGGGGCGGTAAGCGGCCTCCATGCCACCCGCGGCCCAGCCATCCAGGCCTGGGCTCTGAGACTCCAGGGCAGAGCCCCGCTCACCTGTAGGCGATCCCTGCTTGGACTGCGGGTCCGCCTGGGCTCCTCCCGCCTTGTAGGACAGTGTCTTCGCTCCCTGCTGCTTCTCCAGCTCCCCTAGGGAAGGGAGAGGCTCGTGAACAGAGAAACCGAGTCTCAGCCACACAGAGGCGAGGGAGGAACAAAGCAGGAAACTCCTGACAGGTGCACCCACTTCACCGCAGGTTCTGCATGTGTATGTGGGAGGACGTCTGTGTGGATGTCAGACGGCAGTAGGAGAGGGTGAGCCGAGGAAGGTGGGCCAGGTGGCTTTCCATCAGGTTCGGATCCTTTCTGTTCTGATCCTTTCTAGCCGTGTAGCTTTAGGCAAGTTATTGAACTTCTCCACCTGCGGGACAGCAGTGCCCACTTCAAAGTGTCACTGAGATTTACATGAGGAAATACACTACGGCACTTAGAACCGGGCCTGGCTTGTGACAAGTGCTCCATAAATACATTTTATTACAGTGTGTGAGACTCCCTGGTTACAGCAGATCTTACGATGGCTGGTGATGCCGAGCCCGCCCACCTGGCTCCTCTCGGCATGGACGGGGCGCCCCAGCCTGCTGTGCTCCCACGGGCTTTTCGGAGCTCTCCCGGGGCAGACCCCAGTGCCCGAGGGTCTGGGGTGCGGCACAGCTGGAGCGGCCGGTGTCTGCCTGGGCACTCCATTCATCTCTCTCTAGACCGGGAACCCTTCTTTCCTGTTCCCTGGTGCTGCCAGCAAACTGCCAGTTACCATCCCTGGAGCTCTGACAGTCATTATTAAATCACTCCTCCAGCTTCTCTCTTCCAGGAGACATAACTCAAGTTCCTTTTATTAAAGCTATTCTCCTGGGTCCCATTTTCTGCCTCTCTGGTTGTCTATAACCCAGGGACACAGACTGCAAAGCCCCAACCAAAGCCATTTGTCCTGACTGCCTGAATCACAGCATCAATCAATCTGAAACACTTTTACTGAACTGAGATTGGTTCCTGCCCCTGCGGAGGGGCTTTCTTGGCTTCGGGGCGAGGAGTCCGAGGAACCTGGGTGCAAATCTCATTTTCTCACTGACCTGTGAACTCGGACAGCCTCCTCAGGCTCTGTTAGACTCAGTTTCCTCCTCTGTAAAATGAGAATACTACCACTCACCTCATGCCACGTTGTGGCGAGAGTTACGGCACACAATAGGTTCAGCATTCAACCCAGGGCTAGGCACGAACTTGGTGCTCAAATAAACGGTAGCTGTTGCTGATTTTATTTCCTCCTTTCTACTTGCCTCCCTGCCTCCCTGCCCTACCCTGCACCTTCCCTCAGCTGCTCCTTCCCTTTCTCTCCATCTGAAAAATAAGAGCCAGATGTGAGCCTCTCTCCCTTCTTCCCTGCCCTGGAGACAGCAGGAGAGGGTATTCACCGCCTGGCATACAGATTGCGGTGGTATCGACTCATCTGAGCTCTGGGGAGACATACGATGTGCTGCTCCCAGGCTGATGGGGAAAAGGTGCCCCTTCCAGCAATGCTGGTGCCCATGGGCCACTGTGGCTCCCCGGGGCTGTGCGGAGCCACCTGGGACATTCTGACGAAGTGAAGGATTTTTAGGGTGTGGTCTTGACAATGTTCGAGATCGACAACGAGGCTGCACCTCTGAGAGTCTGTTTTCCTGAAGAGTCTGTTTGTTACACTGGTGAACTCGAGCATGCCAACGGAGCGCAGAAAGGGATTTGCACACACGGCCTCCACCCAAGCAGTTACGAGAGTTATACAGTCTAGTCTGGTGGGTTTTGTTTGCTTGTTTGAACTTGATTTCGTTTTGGTTGTGTTCTTAGGAAACTATCAACAAAACCTCTTCTCTCCCTCCCAGAGTGGAAAGTACATGAACTTTGAAATCAGGTTTAAATGCAAATTCCAGCTCCTCTGCTTTTAATATGCATGACCTTGGACACACCCCTTAACTTCTCTGAGTCTTACCTGGCACATGGGACAATGCACCCACTGTGTAGCATCAGTGTGAGGATCAGTGGAATATAAACAAGCTGCCTAGCACACAGTAGGTGATCTGAAACATGGATTAGAAAGCAGCCTTCTGGTCCAGCCAGTGTGGCTTAGTGGTTGAGCATCGACCCATTCACCAAGAAGTCACCGGTTCGATTCCCAGTCAGGACACATGCCCAAGTTGTGGGCTCGATCCCCAGTGGGGGGCATGCAGGAGGCAGCCAATTGATGTTCTCTCTCATCGATGTTTCTATCTCTCTCTCCCTCTCACTTCTTCTCTCTCTAAAATCAATAAAGGGAGAAAAAAAAAAAAAAAGCAGCCCTCTGTAATATGGCTCCTGCTCAAACCCTCCCATTGCCCTTCCTATTGCCTAATGGATTTTTATGGGTTTATTTTAATCCTCACCCAAGGATACGTTCATTGGTTTTTGGAAAGAGAGGAAGGAAAAGAGAGAAAGAGAGAGAAACATTGATGTGAGAGAAGCATTGATTGGTTGCCTCCTATACGCGCCCCGATCGAGGATCGAACCCACAACCTTTTGGTGTATAGGACGATGCTCCAACCAACCGAGCCACCTGGCCAAGGCAGGTTTTTTGTTTTTATTTTTGTTTTTTTGCATTTTATCTTCAGATAGAGCTGGAGGGAGAGAGAGAGGAAGAGAGAGAGAGAGAATCATCGATGTGAGAGAGACACATTGACTGGTTGCCACCCTCACGACCCCAACCAGGGCTGGGGACAAACTGAAACCAAGGTACATGCCCTTAGCGGGAACCAAACCCGGGTCTCTCTGGTCCATGGGCCGACGCTCCAACCGCTGAGCCAAACTGGCCAGGGCAGGCCAAGGAAGATTTTTATGAATTTAGAAATACTTTCCCAGTAAGTGGTTGTATAAGGCACATCTGAAGTTTAGTTTTATTTTCTGTTTTACTTTCCGAATCCATTCTTATTTATCTTAAAGACTATCTGAAGCCACAGCAGTGTTTTCCTTTTTTTTTTGGTACATGCCCCTAGCGGGAACCGAACCCGGGACTCTCTGGTCTGCAGGCCTCTGCTCCAACCGCTGAGCCAAACCAGCCAGGGCCACAGCAGTGTTTAAACAGTAAAAGCTTGCAAGTGGGCCTAGGTTGCAGGTCAGCACTGCTCTTTTCTTAAGCTGAAAAGCAACCAGTAAACCCCCCGGACATATGAAGAGACCCATGTTTTCTGAAATGCCTGAATTGGAACAATCAAGACTGAGAGGAGCCCTGGCCGGTTTGGCTCAGTGGTTAGAGCGTCAGCCTGTGGTGCAGAGAAACCTGGGTTTGGTTCCCGCTAAGGACATGTACCTCGGTTGCAGTTTGTCCCCAGCCCTGGTTGGTTGTGCGGGTGGCAGCCACTCGATGTGTCCCTTTCACGTCGATGTTTCTCTCTCTCTTCCTCTCTCTCCCTCCCACTCTACCTGAATAAAAAATGGGAAAATGATAAAAAAAGAAGAATGAGAGGAACAAAAAGACCAAGATGAGGGATGGTCAGAAAACCAGCCAGCCTGGGCTCTTCAAAAGCACAAAGGTTATGAAAAATTAAGGGGGGGAGGGTGCTATTTGAGATTAAAAGAGATGAAAGAATGAAACAATCAGATGTAGTATGTGAACCTGGACTAGATCCAGGGAAAGAGGCTGTACAGGGGGCTTGATGGGAGAGCAGCTGGGCCCAGACCTCTCTGGTTGGCAGCCTGCCTTGGTCAGCTCGCTTGCTGTCCTGGGCCAAACAGCGGAGTTCCCAGTCCCAAGGGGCCCACCGCAGCCCCACAGCCTGGCTAGGTGCACATACCCGTGCGTGCCCTAGCCTACCTCCCTTTCTCGGAGAAGAATCAGAGCAGCAGGGCACCCACGTGGGGCTGTGATGGTGCAGTGGGCTGGGGGAGGTTCAGGATGGCAGGAGCGTCCTCGACTCGCCACACACTCACGCAAAGTGGGGAGAGGAGTCCGAGCTGTGTCTGTCTACGAGCCAACGCTGTCTCCTGCTGACTGGGAGCTGGCCTGTCCTCCCTGCCCACCGCCCTGTAAAGCCTGGACTGCGCTGCGTCCTTACACTCTATCCGGATCTGCTCCAGTTCCGTCACCTCCGCGATGGACTCCTTCAGGTCCTCCACAAACTTCTGCATCTCGTCTGAGCCCAGGGCACAGAAGTGCAGCACCTGCTTCTTCTCGGAGCCCGAGAGCGGGGTCACCAGGGTGATGCCATGAGAGTAATCTGGAAATCAGACCCCAGGCCCATGTGAGCAGCAGCAGGTGAGGCTGGAGCCAGCCCAGCATGCTCGCCCCTCCACCCCCCCTACAGCCCTCAACTTCCCCCAGCCATCCTCTGCCACATTTCTGGGCTTCGCCGAGACTCACACTCATTTTCAAAGAGGTGGAACTGCATGCCCAGCAGGCCGACCGACTTGCAGAAGGTGTATGTGGAGGAGCTCTTCTTCTTCGGGCAAAGTTTGAGAATCTGTCCAGGAGGGGGAGACAAAGGTGCACTGGCGGGTGTTCCCATGCGTGTGCACACCTGAACACATGAACTCCCAGTGACCATCCTGAACACACAACCAAACATGCAACGACATATGCGCACACATGCACGCTTATGTACTTAGGATACGTTCACACATATGTACATATACATGTATATCCACACACACATGCATGTATAAAAACACCCACTGTATTAAAAAAATATATATATATATATATATATAAACCCTCCAGTGGTTATTCCCACTGCACTTAGAAGAAGTCCAGCCACACTTCCTGCCCGACTCGATCTGGGCCCTGCCTCCCTCTGGCTTATGCTCAAGCCACACTCTCTTCCTTTCTGTAGCTCGAACAGGCAGGTCAGCCCACTGCAGGCCCTTTGCTCATGTCCCCTTTCCACAGCTCTCCCTGCAGCTTTGTGCACAGCGGGGTTACTCCATTACTCAGATCTTAAATGAAGTGCTACCTCCTTAGCGATTCCTTCCTTGACCGTACGATATAAAAAACAAACAAACCCAAAATAAACAAAAAGTCCACTTCCATATCAGTCACTCACCATCCTCTCACCCTAGTTTATTGTCTTCTTAGCACCTTCCTCTCAAGTTGGTATTATCTTCTTAATTTGTCTTCTTGATTTTTTTAAATCTCCCTTCTCTACTAAAATGAAAGCTCTGTAAGCTACTTGCTCAATACACAAATATTTCTTGAGCACCTCCCATGAGCTGGACTCTGGGGATACAGGAGAATGGAGGGCAGAGAGCCCTGCCCTCAGGCTGCTTCTGTTTCATTGGAGAAGACTGTCAGGGTTAATAAAGCATAATAATAATAATAATAATAATAAAACAACAGAAAATAAACACACCAAAGTGAAGAAATGGATAAGTAAGGTAATTTCAGAAACTGAGAAGTGTTTTGGAGAAAATGAGATGGGTAGGATTAGACAGTGACGGGCAGCTCCCCTGCTAGGTGGACAGGGAGGCCTGTGTAAGGAGGCGAGGCTTGAATTGAGACCTGGATGAAGAGAGGGCGGTGGTAGGGCAAAGGTGTGGGTAGGTGGGATGCGGGGGGAGCTTTTCAAGTAGAAGGAGCAGCAAGAACAAAGGCCTGTGAACAAAGGCCTCGGGAGGAATGAGCCTGGCCCCTGGGAGGCAGTTTGCAGGGCAAGATGCCAGAGCAGCCAAGGAAGAATCAAGGGCATGAGGTCAGAGGTCAGAGGTCCTGGAGGACCCAGGCTAGGAGGTGGGACTTCCTTCTCCTGCATGGGAAGCCAGGCTCAGGTCTGAAGAATGGCAGACAGGCCTGATCTGCAATCTGGCAGGATTACTCCTGGCTTTGTGGAAGGTGGACCTTAGTGTGGGATCATTCGATTTGGGATCATTTTAGAGGTAGTGCCAATACGACTTATGGATAAAGGGGGTGGGGGTATGAAAGAAAGACAGAAACCAGACCCGGTTCACCACTGTTTGCTACCACTTAGAACAATGCCTGGCACACAGCGGACACTCATTAAACATGTGTGGAATGGATATTTGTTTTCAAAGACCAAAGAGTGAGTAGCACACACATGTGGGTACATGCACACACGCACATGCACACACACACACGCACACACACACACCAGCATCCCGTCAGGCCCAGGGACAGCGCATGCCCAGCTTAGGTCCACCAACCAGCACTGTACACCCTGCCTGTGGGACGTGAAGGGCACCCCGGTACCCTGCCTGCCCCAGGCTTTCTCTAACAGGGAGAGGAGGAGGCTCCGAGATCGATTTCATTCCCACCATGACTGTGGAAATGACTTAACCTCGCCATTCCTTGGTTTCATAACTTATAAGGTACAAACAATCCTATCCGCCTGAGCTACCTCCACCCCATGATGTGAAAATGTCACAAACAAGGGTGAAATCTGGGAGGGCCCCTTCCACCCCTCTTCGGGGTTCCCTGCTGAGGCCGCGCAGGGCAGCAGGTGCCCGGGCCAGTCGGCTCACCACCAGCAGGTCGTTGAAGAGGAACACCTCCCGCTGATGGGCGGCCTGCTTCTGCAGCTTGTTCACGTCTGCCACTTCAAAGAGCCGGCTGCAGCACACCAGGCGGCGGTGGGGCACTGACAGCACCTGGAGGGGCACACGCGCAGCAGGAGATGCCCCAGGGCTCGGGCCCCACCCACCCACAGCGCCCACGTCCCAGAAGAGCAGGTGGAGGACCAGGACTATTACAGGGCCTGAACTTGACCTGAAACTTCCTCTCTCCTCACTGGGGCTCATCCCCCTTCATCAGCTCGTAGGGAGCAAGGCTGAGGGAGCTCCTTACGCTGGCGTCAGTGAGGAGGTAAAGGGTTGGGAAAGACAGGTGATGAGCACTTTCAGACTTCACCTCCAGTCACTGTCAACCCGTTTCCCTCCAAGACCTTCTTGAGGGCATCCCATGTCCCAGGCTATGACTCACAGGATGGCATCCCCACCCCTTTTCCACTGCACACCTAAACGCAAGTGTGCAAGAGGGAGGGGACTACAGGGACACCTCAAATCTGCTCCAGGGTGTAAAACAACCTACTCCAGTGGCCTCTGCACATTAGAGATGCTGAAACCTTAGCAATATAGGCTCTGGGCAGAAAAGGGGCATCCCTGCCGACTGGGCAGTGTACTGCCTCCAGAGTGGTCCCCAAAGTGCCCCCCAGCAATTCAGGAAGGAGGAACTGAAGCCGGACCCCAGAACCTGCTCCACCCGGTTTGTATTTGTGGCAGAAAGAGACCCCACTAGTATGTAAATAGAGTCGTAAACTACAGAGAATGCTCACCTTAAAAATCACTGCAAACTCACAACATACTGCCTGAGACACAGGTCAAAGCTCAGGGGTGCCCCAATGGTTTTCAAGACACCACAGGCTAAAGCCTATGTTAACCCATTTTCGGTGTTCTATCCAGTGGGACCAGCCAGGATTGTCCAGCATCCACCGCATTCTAAACCTCCCTATCTAGCCATCCAGATGCTTCAACCCTGGACCACTGGGCAGTCTTGCCCAACACCTCACCTCCGTTTCTCCTGCTGCAGCTGGAAGCAAGAGGCAATGAGAAAATGCGGCAAGGGAACAAAGAGGGTGCCGTGCACGGCACACGGCAGGGACTCGGTAACTGCTAAGTGCAAGCGTAATGGAAAAGTGTTTTGAAAGGCAAGGAGGACGGGCAATGTCAGGAGGAAAGAAATGGAAGGAGATGGGCAATGGGGGAGCTTAGCAGACACCAGAAAGGAGAGGATGTGACACCCCCGGGGGAGTACTGTTCTGCAGCGGGCACTCACTGTCTTCATGCCCACGATGGACTTCTCCACCTTGGTGACATATGTGACATGGTCCTCATTGGACTTGAGCTCCTTCTGCTGTATCCTTTCGTAGATGCCCACCACCAGCTCCCTGGGGATGTCAGCGCCATCGTCCACACCTGGAGTGTGGGAAGGGAGGCAGGGAAGTGGAGGAGGGAGGGGTCAGAGGCCTGCGGCCAGAGGGGGAAGCCCCTACCAGACCGGTGCTCCCAAGGGTGGCCTTGCTTCACCTTGTCCCTGTTCCAAAGCCTTCCACGGCTGGCTGCCCACCTCCATTAAATTAAGGACAAACCCCTTAGCCAGGCACCAGCACTACTATATTACGGCCCCAACACATATTTCCGGCTATTTCAGAACCTCCACTCCCACCTCCCAGGCCTCTTTCCTCGTCTCCGAATACAGCCTCTCCGTTCCTGCTGTCCTCTGTCCTCCACGCACTTGTCTAACCTCCCACCCCCAGCCCTGCCATGACAGCATCTTGAAGGCCAATGTTCTGTCTTGTTTCCTTTAGGATTTCCCCCCTCTCAGCCACCCCTCCACTTCCAAAAGGGAGCATGGTGCTCAGTGATTAGTCGTTGAATAGGCGGTAAGACTCTTCCTTCACTGGGGACCTGGGGGCTGTCAGTCATTGACTGATGAGGAGCAGGGCAGCCCTGTGTGCAGTGCAGGTAAGGAGACCCTCTACCCAACTCCTATTTCATAGTAATGGTGAAACTCTGGTAACAAATATTACTAGCAGGAAACATATCCACATGAAAACAACTTTCTTTGGAAGCAGAAACAGAGGCAATAAAAAATTTCTACTTTTTCTAAATTTCTAATGACAATATGCTTCTTTGATAAGAGGGAAAAATGGAAAATGAGGCAACGTTGGCAAGTGTCCTCAAAGGAGTTTTCCTACGACTGAGAGGACATTCACCTGCCATGAGCAACTCTCCGTATTGCCCCTGTTCCCTCCACATCTGTCCTTGGTTCTTAAAGGTGGGCTGGTGGGCCATGCAGCACCCCTGGGGCCTTACAGAAATCAGGCTGGGGGCAAGAAACAGCAGGGATCAAGACTGAATCCACAGTGGCTCCCAGGTAAAGATGGAAGGTTGCACTTGCTCTTTCTGAATATTCTGGTAGAGGCTACACTTACAAAGAGGACGGGGAAGAGGCCATGGCGCCGTGGGGCCTGGAAAGCAGAGGATGAGTGGATGGATTAGTAAGCCTGAGAAAGGGAACACTGAGGCACCACGGAACCCTGGAGGGCCCTAGAGTTGGTGGCAATAGGATCTTTTAACGTGGAGGTGAAGGTGGGCTGGGAACAGGAAAATAGGTTGAAAATCTAGAAAACATTTAGCTTTTCCTATCCCTTCCTCCACTACAGCAGAACACTTAACATTAATCCTTTGAAAGGGATGAACCAGGAACTCTGGTCTGGGGGTCCCCAGCCCAGCCAAAGGCGGGAGTCTGTGCTGAAAACTGGGGTATGGAACTGATGTCTATGCATTAAGAGACTCCCCCCAACCCTATTTGCCCACAAAGTTCTCAGAATGTTGGCAGCCAGACTCATAGCCTCTGGACTACAGATTGGACATTTCTTTTCTGGGGGATCAATCAGCCCAAGAGAAAATATCCAAAGATACTGCAGGAGTGGGTCCCCCAACAAAACAGCTCAACTAAACCACCCTATGAGAAAGTCCACCATTTAGCAGCCCCCCCGTACTCACAGAGGGTTTTATCAGCTGTTTAGTGGCTTACTCTTGAATATAAATGGACAACCATGTTTCTTCAACTACCTGTGACAAAGAAGTATGGGAAAGAACAGAAAACAGAAGCCAGAAGAAATAGAGGAAGAAACTGAAACAAGCAAATGAAAACATATCATTAATGTCTTCAGAAATATGTAAGAAGATATTGCATCTACAAAACAAGAACAAAGTGATATAAAAGAGGAACATTTAGAGAACAAAAAAAGAGTTATTTAAAATGAAAAATATGACAACAGAAACGAAACACTTAGTGGGAGATTTGAAAGGCAAAGCTGAGAGATATCTTTAAGAAAGTCAGCTAGAAGTCAAAGATGGCAGCTAGAAAGCTATAAAAATTAGAAAATCAAACTAGGCGATCTAACATCTGAATAATACGAGTTCCAGAAAAAGAGTACAAAGAATATGAAAGGGGAAAATGAACAAATATAACATTTAGAAAACTTCCCACAACTGGAGGACTTGTGTTTCTAGACTGAAAGAATAACCCAGTGCCTAGTACAATAGATGGGGGAAAAAACCCACAAAAATCATAAGGCACATCATCATGAAAATTCAGAACACAAAGGACAAAAAGAACCTATAAGATTTCAGAGAGAGCAAGAAAAACAACAGCACAAGATCAGGAATTGGAATGACAGAGCGATCTTTAGCCAATGTCAGTTAAAGAACAATGGAGCAATGCCTTCAAAATTCTGAGTTCAATGTTTCCAATCTGGAATTCTATTCCCAGCTAAACTTGCAATCAAGAGTGAAGATAGAAAAAGATATATTCAAACACAAGTTCTCAAAAAGTTTGCCTTCAGTGTACCCTTGTTTTCTGGGAAAAAAATGTGTACCTTTTCTCTCTCAAAGAAACAGCTATGAAATCGAGGAAACAGGAATCTAACACAGGAACGAGATGGAGGAGATCCCCAGTGGTGATGGGAGACAGCAGAAGACAGCTGCCCAGATCAGAGCAGAACTAGAGGCTCCAGGAGAGACAGCTCCCCAGAAGATGAAGCTCATGGAATACCTGCTGGGCTCAATGTGTAGAGGAACTTGACACTTACGGTGGACAGTCTGGAGATGAATGAATGGCAGGTACGTAGAGAGCTAAGCAAATGGACAAAAGAACACAAGTATTCACCCCAAGGAAAATAGAACTAGAAAGAATTTGTAGTCAGATTCTTTAAGACTCAGCATTGGATAGTGTTTACCTAGTCTTAATAACAGAAATAACATCACAAAAAATGATGCTACAACTACATGAGAGCAGGGGACTGTGAAGTAGATTTAGTGGGGATGGGCTGGGGAAGGTAAATGCAAGAGAGCTAAGTCTTTACATTCTAAAGGGGAGATTGCTGTGGTCTGAATATCTGTGTTCCTGCCAAATTCATATGTTGAAATCCTAATGACCAAAGGTGTTAGGAGGTGGGACCTTCAGAAGGTGCTTACGCCAGGAGGACTGAGTTCTCACAAATGGGCTTAGTGCACTTGTAAAAGAGACCCCACAGAGCTCCCTACCCCTTCCGCCGTGTGAGGACACAGCCGGGAGCAACAGCTAGAATCAGGAAGTGGGCTCTCACCAGACACCGAATCTGCCTTGACCTTGGACTTCCAGCCTCTACAACTGTCAGAAATATGTCTGTTGCTTATAAGCAACCCAGGCTGTGGTATTTTGTTATTGCAGCCTGAACAGACTAAGACAGAAATTAATAGATAACACTTACATTTTAACAAATGAACGAGTAGCAGAGTATGAAAGAAACCACATACCGAAGTATATGTACTGTATAACCCATTCATATGAAGTTCAAGAACTGGCACAGCTAGTCAACGGTGGTGGAAGGTCAGAAGAGCTGTTACTCAAGGGCAGGGTATTGAGTGGAACGGAACACGAGAGAATGTTCTGAGGTGAGGACAGTGCTCTATATTTAGATGTAGGTGTGATTACATAGCTGTATAGGAATATCAACATTCCTCAAGATCTCCGATTTATAGACCTCACATTTGCATTTTTATACCAATAAAAAAAAGAAATAAAAAATGAGGCAGAAGGAAGCATGCTATTTAGTGATGTAAAGGAAACATAAGAAAGGGGAAAAGTGAAAGTGGTTGTCTGTAAAGAAGAGTGTGAGAGGGGCAGGGACTAATTATTTTTTAGTAAGCCCTGTAGAATTATTTGACAGTATTAAATTATGTGCACATGTAACTTTTAATTTTAAAATGCTGAAAAAAGCCCTGGCTGGCTTGGCTCAGTGGTTAGAGTGTCAGCCCGCAGACCAATGAGTAACGGGTTCGATTCCGGTCAAGGGCACGTACCTCGGTTGCGATTCGTCCCCAGCCCTGATTGGGGTCATGCGGGAGGCAACCACTTGATGTGTCCCTCTCACTTCGATGTTTCTCTCTCTCTCTTTCCTTCCCACTCTATCTGAACAAAAACGGAAAAATATCCTCGTGTGAGGTTTAAAAAAATAAAATAAAATGCTGAAAAAACAAAAAGTCAGTTGAGCACACATCACGCCCTGCCCGGTGGTGCCCTGTGTCCATTAGAAAAGGATGTGGCTGGCAGATTCCATTTGTTACCTGCAGGGCTGACTTAAGTGGGCCCAAGACCGAAAAGCCCTCACAAGCCGCGAAGTGGGAGGGGCTGGTACCTAGGCAGCAGCTATGTACCTAGGCAGGTGCTAGGGGCCGAGAGGTCCACCGATGGAGGACAGTCCACGCAGGACAAGGAACATTGCCCAAGGGCCCTTGCTGCTTGGCACAGGGCAGTGGCAGTGGCCCCTGGAAACTCCCCAGATGCCTGGCATGCTAGCAACTTCCCCAGGCTGCTATGCATGACCAGGCCCAGAGGGCAGCGCCCAGTGCCCTTGGCTCCTGGAGTGACCGTCTACAACTGGGCTCAGACTCACAGAATTAGTGCCGAACAGAACAGGCTGGAGCAGGGTCGTTGCCCCCCCAGCCCCTCCACCCCCACCTCCTGACCTCGAAGGTTTCGGATGAAATCCTCTAGCATCATCTTCCGGTCAGGCTTGATGTTGGGGCTGTACATGTCGGTGTTGAGGAGGATGATGGCGAAGGCCAGGATGAAGATGGTGTCGGGGTTGTGGAACTGCTGCACCACCTCGGGGTTGCACATGCAGTAGCGCTGGCTGTGGGGGGGGGACACAGACAGGGTGCTGAGGCCCTGCCCCAACCTCCCCAGCTCCAGCCAGGGGGGCTGTGGGGGAGGAGTCGAGGTCTCTGCAGGTCTTAAGTCCTGGCAGCAACCCCCGCGCCCCCCCATCCTGTTGCTCTGCCCCACAGCCTGGCCCTCTTCCCTTCTGAGGGGACAGGGCAAGTGTCACACACCCACGGTTCCCGTGGCACCAGCCTCGCACAGATGCTCAGTAAGATCTGCTCGTTGATGGGATGAGTGAGATGCATGGACGACTTGAGGGCCCCGTGCTGTCCTGGCTTGGAGGGCTCCAGGGGTTCTGTCACGTTCCTCCTTGCTCTGCAGCCCACCTCCCCACCTCCCCAGGAGGGCTTCTCCCAGCCCTGACTGACCCTCCAGCACCTCCCGTCTTCCAGGCCCACAGCTCTTCCCCGCCCAGCCTCCCCCATAGCCCAGGGGTGTGTCTTGAAGGCTCTCTGAAGGGAGGGGGCTGCAGAAGGGGGTCCCACCTGAAGGCCTCTATGAGCCGCTCCACCTTCTGGGCTTCGCCCTGCACGCGGATGTGAGCCTGGAACTTGCGCAGGGCCTCGTCCAGCTCCATGCTGGAGAAGTCCATCTCGTCCACCACGCAGCTGAGGGCAGGCGGGAGGAGGGCCGAGAGGAGCGTCAGCCCCCAAACCCCCAGCTCACTGCAGCTCAGGACTAAGTGCAGCTCACAGGGGCTGGAAGACCCCCCTGCTGGGGCGAGGGAGGGACTTTGGTCCCTGGGACCAACTTGGAGGTGACTGGTGGGCCTCTCAGGCCTTACTCACCACCCAGGGGTCTCCGTTTAATAATCGAAGAGACCCTTTCTCATACCTCTCATCTAACACAATGGCCCGTGAGGCACATGGCGACTGTGGTCTCCAGTTCACAGCTGAGAACCTGAGGCCTGGAGAGGCTAGCTGACTGCCCAAGGCCGCACAGCTAGGACGAGGCTGAACCTCCAAAGCCCAGTCTTTTCTTCTCAACCTCAGGGCGTCTCAGTGTCAAAGGTTTAAAATGTGCATAAACACAGTTTCCTCTTCTGCTCTTCCAGAGACCTGTCAGGAGTTTGCAGGTCTCTGTAGCTTCCCTTCCCTGGTCCAGTTTGGGTTTCTAAGTGACAGCATCTCCTCCTGCATCACCCTCCCAATTCTGCCGTAGGCTCCCAGGTCCTTCATTTGCAGCCCTTGGGGGAAGCTGCAGCTCTTGATAGGAAATGACATGTCCTCTTAACGTGGGCGGGGACAGCATGGAAAATACAGCCAGGCTCTGGGCCTGGGCTGACCACGGACTTTTTTGTGGCTTAGCTCAGACTCCTCACCTCTTGGAGCCTCAGTTTCTTCTGAGAAGAAGCAGGTCAGAGTCCTGCTCCCCAAGGGCCCTTCCACCTCTGAAATGCCACCTCTCACCCTGGACAGTTTGCCTCTGAATGTTCCCTTCCAAGTGTGGGGGAGGGGGAAGTAGGGGGCACATGTCAATCGCCCCCACTAGGCAGTCTCATTCTTTTGGTTTGGCCGGCTCCTGGGGCCCTCCCTCCCACCCCATCATGCCTTACCCTCCTTTGGGGTGCAAGGCAGGAATCTCGGCCTGGCTAAGCCGCAGACTGATCCTCCCTGAGAACTGCAGAAGCTCACACATGCCAACAAGGCTCTCAGAGCTGCTTCCCCCCTTTCTGCACCGTGCTCTATTCAGGTCCTCTCTCCTGGTCTTTTACACCAGCCCCTCACTCCCCTCTGCTCCCACAGCCCCTGGAGACTCCGCCAGGCGTCATGACCCCAGGCATCACTGTCCGTTCACTGCCTGCCAGCCAGCCGGCCAGCCGTGGCTCAGGGCCCAGCTGAGGGAGGGATTCAGGACAGTGGCTGCCTGAGCGGAGGGATGAGCCCTGGAGCAGGCCCCTCTCCCACAATCATCCTGGCTCCTGTGTTGGGCCTGATGCTTGTGCGGATATCCCAACTCAACCCTGGCTCTGCTGTCAACTTTTAGGAGAAAGCAAGGGGAGACACCATGTGGCGGTGGCCACGGATCGGTGGTCCATGGGCTCTGCCTCCCCCTCTCCTTTCAGGGGGACCGAGAGGAAGGGTGCATCACCGGGACTCCTGCAGAGGGAAGGGCTGGTAGGGGCTCCCCTCCCCCCACCCTAGGGGCAGGGACGATGGCCATCTTCATGCCGGGAGCCTGTCCTCGGCTTGATCAAACCCAGCCTTCTCTCGGGCTTGTCCACGTGGACAGCGAGTGGGTGAGAAGGTGGGGCTGGTACGGGAGACACGAATTTAGCCCAAGCATGAGCATTGGCAATGGGAGTGTCCGAGCATTTGAGAGAGGCAACTGGGTCGTAGGGGCCTCCAGGTTCAGCCCGACTTCTCTGCAGCTCTGGTCACCTTCTCCCTGAACTGCTCCCCAGTGAACGTGAGCGGTGAGAAGTCCCCGCAGCCCAGCCCCGTCGGGAGTTACACATCCAGCGTGACTGAGCCGTACAGGGATGCTGTCTGTCCGGAGGAGGTGACCAGTCATTCTTGGGCCAGGGAGGAGACAGAGACAGTGAGAGACACAGTCAAGTGAGAGAGGCCAAGAGAACAAGGAGAGACGGAGGAGAGACACACAAAGAGAGTTAAAGAGAGGCAAGGAGGTGAAGAGAGGCAGACGGACAAAAACAGAGAGAGAACAAGAGAAAAACAGAAACAAGGGAGAAAAGGAAAGGAGAGAGAGAGAGAGAGAGAGCGCGAGCGAGCAGGGAGAGGAGGGAGAGGTGGAGGAGGGAGAGGAGACAATACAGGACAAGACAGGCAACAAGGGGAGGGAAACATCAAAGACGGACCTGGTGGGCCTGGGCATGAAGTTCCGGTGGGGGTGAGGGGGGGGGGCACACGCAGCCTCTCACCCAGGGGCTCCCACCCTGACTCTTGCAAGGCCAAGGGGAAGGGCCATGAATTCCAGCCTGGTCAACCCTGTCTTCAGGGCCTGCTTCCCTGGTGGACCCAGAATGGCCCCTGGCTCCCCTGGTCTGGCGTCTGGCTGCTCCCTCAGGACCACTTGCCGCTGCGGTCCATCTGCCTACTCCTTACCTGGCCTCTGACCCTGGGCCCTGGCACCCTGCACCCCTCCCCAGGCCCCTCCCAGAGCCTTGGTGCATGCACACTCTGCCCAGCGGTCTGGCCCAGGCCTCACCCCGGGAGGAGGAGGGTGGGTGCCCAGAGGCCCAGGCATCGTGGGCAGTGGACAGAAGGAGGCGGTGGAGCAGCTGGGAGAGTGTGGGATCTGCTCGGCCGAGCGCGATGGCCTAGTTTCCAGCCCTTCACTCAGGTGACACGAAGCTGGCTCACTTGCTCGGGGCTGCAGCTAAAGCTCCAGTAAGGAGCCCAGAGCCGGAGAGACAAGGTCTGGGGCAGGGGACGCAGCCAGCCCAGGAGTGGGGAGCACTACATCAATCAGTCGCACCATGGAAGGATACGTGGGCCACGGGGCAGGGCCGTGTCTGCACCTCACATCTTCGAAAACCCCAAGGAAGGAGGCTTGTGAAAATGTAGATCCCCGAACCCCACCCCTGATCTACAGACTAGAATAGCTGGAGGCGGGGCCTGGGAACCAGCATTATTCAAAGCTCTCCAGCTGGTTCTTACACACTGAAAACTAATAGTGGAGCTAAGTGCAAGGGTAGGAGGGGGTCTGGCCCATGTAGCAGCTTTTAAAATGTGAGTCCAGCAACTCATGGGCTATCAGGGCAGCAGCTCAAGGGGGCGCACGTGTCCCCACCAGCCCTCAGGGACCGCTTTTCCAGTGGGCTGGTGAGGGAGGGAAGAATGGAGGACAGACGGACGCAGTCCTTGAGAGCGCGCGCACGTATCTCATGCCTTCTTCCTTGCAGTTGCCACCGCTGGTTAAGGGGCAGTGGTTAAGGGGCAGCTGGTGTCCTGGGGTTCTGGGATCCGTCAGGGGAACAAAGCCCAATGTTTTCTGCAAAACCCCAGAAGGAGGAAGGGGCTGTGTTGAATGGTGGAAAGGCATCATTACCTCCCGCGGACCAGTCCCTTCCTCTGCGGAGTCGGGGTTGGGCCAGGTGCCCTCCCAGGGCTCTCCCCACTCTGACATTCTGGGACAAGGACCCGAAGCAGAGAGGCCCGCAGTCAGTCTATAGGGCTTGGTAGGTGCTCCGGGATGGCAGGAGGCTGAACATCCTTTCTGGCTGGCTTTGGAATACAGCGCACAGTGGCTGCTCCTCCCGCCTCCCAGGACCTGGCCCGTGCCTTCCTGGAGGAGCCCGTGCCTCCTGGGCAGTGGCTGTGCTCCCACCAAGCTGCTCCGGTGGAACCTCCCCTCAGGGGTCCCTGTCATCCTGAGATCACCCATAATCCTTGCCCCTCCCCCACAGCATGCTTTTTCCCACCCCCTACGTAGAAGCTTCGGCCTGCGCCTTGACCTCTGCTGCCTCTCCTCTTACCCCTTTCCACTGCTTCTCTTAGTCTGCAGTACCTACCAGTACTTAAAATCTCCCCTCCCCCACCCTCTCTGCCAGCCTGGGGTTCTTGCGGGGAGCACACTGCCGACAGTTCTTCAAATCCACCGACAGCAACTACCATCTCTCCTTTTTGATCGTCTGTAAGGTACAAGACATCATGTTTCTGGGTGGTATTTTCTGGTGTATAATCTCCCCATTTTACAGAAGGCAAAACTGAGACCACAAAGGGGCTTGCTCCATGCTCCCACAGCTAGGAAGAACAGGTGTTTGGTTTCCTGCTTGTGAGGCCCTCCCACCTCTGGGCCCTCTCCGCTTGACCGGGTCCTAACACTGGTGGGGGAGCTTCTGTGATCTCGTTCAGAGAGTCATTCTTAGTGCCTCACTAAGAGTGCAGTGACCATCTGCTCAAACCTATGCAGTATTAATCCTCCTGTTATTTTTTATTACATAGATGAAACGGAAGCTCAAAAGAGAGCTGGCCCGGGAGGGGGCTGCATACATCCAATTCCTTACTGGTATCGCCAGGGCCAGGCAAACCTGCCCCGCCCCCTCTCAATGCCTGGTGCTAAGGTGTCTCTCCCTGGGAGCTGCTACCTTACCCAGATGCCCTCGGGAGCCTGGAGGGGCCAGGGGTACAACTGACCACAGCCAGAGTCACGCATGAGGAGCCACTCTCTGTCAGCAGTCAGCAGGAGGCTGTGTGGCCACCCCGCCGCTTCAGAACCCCAGCAGGGGACAAACTCCTTCACCTCCTACCTTCCCCTCTCCAGTTTGTCTGCCCTCCCTCCCTCCCTCCCTTCCCCCTCTCTCCCTTCCTCTCTTCCTTCCAGCAAACATGCATCTGGTGTCTCCTATGTGCAAGACACTGTGCTAAGGACCTGGTATGAGTGCAAACAACAGAAACACAGACCCTGTCCTGATGAGAGAGACAAATGGAATTTAAAATAAGGATTGTGTTATCATTGTGACGAGTCCTATGTGGACAAAAGACAGGGTTCTGTGAGGACAAAGGAGACCTACTTTATATTGGTGTGTTCAGAAAGGCCTTTCTGAGGACGTGGCATTTGAGCTGATGCCTGGAAGATGAGTAGGAGCTGACCAAGGGAAGAGGAGGGTGGGGGAGAACTTTTAGGTAGAGCGGGGAAAGCACAT